ATTTCCTGTGGAGGGGAGTATGTTTATTGTCTTTAAAATTTGCCTTTAAAAAATAACCTTTAAAGGTTTAACACTATAAACCCCCAGCAATGAGATCAGTCATGGCAGGAACCCAAAGAGCTCTTCCTGGAAAATGCTGCTGCACAATCACTGTGAGTAAACAGCCACCGGAGGAAGAAGTTAGTTAAACTCCTACCTGCCACCTCATTTCCATTTAAATATCAGAGCTCTGCAATTTGATTTCTATAGTTTGAAAGATGCTTTGGTTCTTTGGTAGGACAAGCCATTTACAACGCCCGTTTTATTCTTAGAGGCCTGTTGGTGGTTGGAAACCCTTTGTTTCCCCACACAGTCAATTTGAACTGGGTTGACAAGCTTACAGCTCCATACTGAGGTAGGAAAATGCCACCATTGTCTGGAAGCTGACTGGCCTGCTTCTTTGGGGCCCACAGGCAGGGCATGCTTTAAATCATGAAAAAGATAGCTTAAAAACCACAGGAGCTGTGAGCAACAGAGCAGGCTCCCCACTTCCCACTGCCCCTGTGTTGATCTCAAACAGCCTGGGCTAAGGAGGTAGCCTCATGGTGTTTTCCTAATGAAATCTAATAACTGGAGCATGGATGATGGAAATCTTTGTGTTGGCAACTAGAAACTCTACAAGGGTGAAAATAAAAGCAAGCAGCGGAAACCCGAGAGAAACCTACGACAATGGAGAAGGTGGGCATAAAATGGGGCAGAACCCCTCAAAAGAGCACTGATTTCCAAAAGGAGGTATCATTAAATCTTGTTTGCCTTTCCCCACTTGGCCTATGCAAAGAACTACTATCTTCAAAACCCTATTCAAGTGTCACCTCTACAAACCCTTCTCTGACACCTTCCTCTGAACACACCAGGTGCCTTCTACTACTGCATGTATCACAGTACACTGATTAAATGACATTCATGTTTGCCTGGCACATAGAAGATGACCAGCAAACACTTTCTGAACTGAACTTGGCCTCTCCTTGATAGACCCCCAAAGCTGGAAGTTTGTGAAAATGCTCTTCTAGGAATTCCCATGGCATTTGAACAACCTGGAGTGAATAGGGGATTTAAAAAGAAATTAGCCATTAGGACCATAACAAAATGTACAAATATCAACTCTCAGGCAACTAATCCAAGCAAAATTCTGAAGCTTGCCTGGGCAAGAGAATTGTCCTAACAAGAAAGAAAAGACCAGAGAACAAGTTTACATCTTTATGTTTACATCTAAAATAAAGGACTAAAGCATACTAAGGAGTTGCCTTAGAGATAGCACCCAAACAGAGACCTGTAAATGCTATCAGCATGCAAACTTTAAAAAGAAAGAACACCTTATCCACCTTACTTATGAAGACAATATGAGTGGATGGAGTGGATGCAGAATCAATAAAGCCAAGGTGACAGAACTTGATAAAGCAATGCTGTTCATCTTTTCAAAGTATATTTTTCACAAAATGCCTCTTCCTAAAAATATAACTTGAGCCCACAATGCCTAAGTTTCAGTAAAAATTAGTGACATGACTTAATAAAAACTCAGCAGATCTCATTTTCTTCTCATCTGTAAGATCAAAGCCTTCTGAGTTATCATCTTCATGGCTCTAGATAATGCAACAGCATCTACATACAGGCATCTACATTTCCATGTGGACAAATGTAAGTGAATATTTCTTTTGGTGTGCCTTTGACTTAGGAACACACTGAATAACAATGTGGCTTGGAAATGCAGACCCCTAGTTAAAGCTGCCTATATACTTTGCCAAAGTGGTCATGCCTACACATTTTATATTCTTACAGGTCTTAGTTCCCATCTCTAAAAATACAGTGATGACATTTCCCCCTGACCTCTACCTACTGCAAGGAGGACAGAGGAGATGGGGTGATGATGCTCATTAAAGCCATGAACATCTTGAAAGACAGAACACACACTCACTATAGCTACTGGGTTAGAAACCCTGACACTGCTTGGACTTTAAAAATTGAGTCTTCTAGGGGATGAAGTTCCCTGTCACCAGGCTGTTGTATAACTTCAAACAGCAAACGTGTCCAACAAAAGAGGAAAGGCCTGGACAAATAAACACAATTCACTAAGAAGAGCTCCTCACCCCACTGGGCATAATGGTGTACATCTGTGATCCCAGCAACTTGAGAGGCTGAGGCAGGAGGATTGCCAGTTAAGGCCAGCCTCAGCAACTTAGGTATCCTCATCCCCAGTACTGTAACACCTACTTGAAAAACAGTCGATTAATTCTCTCCTTATTCTACAGTAACTGATGAGAAATGCTGTGACTACAAAGTTCCAGAAAAATATTTCAGAGGGGCTGGGATTGTGGCTCAGCGGTAGAGAGTTCACCTAGCACGTGCGAGGCCCTAGGTTCGATCTTCAGCACCATATAAAAATAAATAAAGTAAAGGTATTGTATCCAACTACAACTAAAAAACAAATATTTAAAAAGTAAAAAATAAAAAAAATATTTCAGAAAAATGCTTGGAGGAGGGAGTGGAGGCAACATCTAGATCCCTACCTCTCACATCCCTGCGGTGGCCTAGGGGCTAATACACGGGCATTCTGTTTGCAAGTTCATCACAAAGGCCATCTGCCTATTTTCCTGAAGAAAACTGGTAAAGTCATAATTTACCAATTTGCCAAACTATATCCTGAATCTAATTTAGGGCTGATGTTAGCAATTTCTCATTGACTATGAGAATTTTAACAAGCAAAAGAATGAAAGAAAAAAGAAAAGAGAGCCAACAACTTCAAATTGACAATGTATTCATCCATTATTTAACTAAAAATTGGAAATGTGGAAAAAGTATTTTGCCAAAATGATAGGGTAGATCTCATTTTCTGTGTCCTCTTATTTCATTATTCATTTGTTGAATGAGAAAGTGTCAATTACTTATTCAGTAAATATTTATTGAATCCCTACTTTACACCAAGTATTATGCTTGCCCTGGAGCTACAAACATAATCCCTGTTCTCAAAAAGCCTAATAAAGAAAAGGAAGGGAACAGAAGGAAGATAATTAAATTAAATAAGCTCCTACTCTGTGTCTGGTGTTTTTCTTAACAAATTCTCCTAAGAACCAATGAAAGGAGGTGGATGAAACTCTCTCCACTTAGGGAATGTGAACTGAGGCACAATGATTTGCATGGAGTCACACAGTTTTATAATTGACTGGTAATTTGCATTCAATTTGGTCTAATTCCAAAACATCTTTAGAAAGACAGACAGAAAGAAAAAAAAAAAGATACCCATTATCCCGCCACCCTGATGCAGAAACTCTTAATATTTCAATGAATTTCTTTCCAATTTTTTTTCTACACATAGGTCAATCTTTAAGTTTTTAAAAATTTATTTCACAGTTATAATCAAAGCACGTTACACTGCATTTCATTGGAACTGTGACACCATGGACTGTGAAATGCTCCATTATTCTATATTGCAAAAGAAAGAAAAATCACTACCAATTATATGATGCCACTGATTGTGAGGTGTGTCCAGATTTCAGCAGTGCGAAAATGTGAAAGCCAAAAAGCATGTCTTAGAGTCAGTGACCCGTTCGGGAATCTACAGAGCCCACATCCATGCTGCCCACCTTCTGCCTGGAGTGGGGCAGGAAGCAGGCTCTGTTTACCATTCTTACAGATATCTTGCCTTGTGCATAGCAGGTACTCAAAGAAATACTTCTTGGACAAAGAAGTATACGACTAAAGCTTGAAAAGAAATGTTTAGAAAAAAGGTTAAAAACTATCATAGGCCTGAGGAATGTTGAAAGTCTAAGTTGTACTGGGGAACTATGGATTTGTGGGGCTACACTGGAGAAGTGGGGAAAGGGAGAGATGGATGGAACTCTGCACCAGAGCCCAAGGACCTGGCTTTTCAATGACTTTTCTTCCCACAGGTGGCCACTGTCTTTACATTGCCTCCTCTTTATTGCTTAGGCCTCTACTTTGGGATGCTTATCCAAGTTTAGCTCTACAATTTGGCTTGCTTCTGCCATCTTGGGAAATCACTCTTTCAAACTCAGTCTGAACACTGATTCAGGTTGGTTCAGGGATCCATTAATTTCAAGTAATAATGAAAATGGAGCAAATTCAGGAAATAACCAGTGTCTTTTCTGCTTATATCGAAGGTCTGACTGCTCCAAGAACTAACAGATATTGATAGTCTGAGGCTATACAATGGAGCATTTCAGCATTCTAAGCAAGTTCACTAGAATATGTGCCTGAATTGACAAAATGGGTTTAAATTAAAAAAAAAAAATTAAGCCAGACTTCTTTCTCCATGCACGCTCCTCATCGAGATCAGCCCACTTGAAAACACTGTGATTTCCTAAATCCTTACTCCTTTTCTTCCTTCACGTACCTAACACCTATCTGTGTCTTCTCTTTATCTGTGTGTCTCCCCAAGAGATATGACAATGGTCCGGAAATTCTGCCCTCAGAATTTTACTCATAGATAAGTAAATTACAACAAAGAGTGAAGAGAAGTTCTAGTAGACAGATGCAGATGAGCTGCCATCAGTTCAGAACCAGAAGAAATTAAATCAGCTGTGGGACAAGAAAAGGCTTCAGGGTGGAGGTGTCATTTCATCTGGGCTTGAAGGATGAGAGGATCTGGCTTAATGGGGCTGAGGACAAAGACCCAGCAGAGAAGGCAGGTGTGGCACCGACTCCCATGGTCTTCTTTCACATGGGCTGTTTATTATTTAGGAACAGACGCAGTTGCCTGAGTCTGTGCTTGAGCGCTGGGCTGACCAGTGTAGGGTGTCATAAGTTATGTCATCTTAGAGTCGAAGCCAGGAAAATAATATAAGATTTCACGCCTATTAAGTGTGAAATTTTAGAGGAAAATTCTAAAAGCTTAAGTCCGATGTATAACAATATCTGAAACCTGTAACTGGTAACTAAGACACTTGATTAAAAGCAAGAGCACAACAGCACTTTTCAGTACTTAGAGGATTGCTGCTCCCGCTTACCATGGACGTGGATACCATTTGGTTGAAAAGAGGAGTTCGTCTCTGGCTGATAGGACTTCAGGTGTGAACCTGATGGTTGCTGGGTGTGGGGAGGCTGTGTTCTCTGCAGTATTGAGGAAGGAGCCGGAACTCTCCGGGGGCTGATGTGGTGAGGAGATGGAGCAGAAGGTACAAACCTGAGAAAACAATTATAAAGGGCAACATGAAGGACACAAAATAGCAAAGGCAGACAAACCTGCCAAAGCCAAGTCTGACCCTGGCTCTGGCCCTGCACAAGTGTAACAACCAGCCCTTTAAACCAACCTTCAGGACTTTTCTCTCTCCCCTTTAGCCACTGAGTTCTTAATTGAGATATCGAGGGAATAAAAGATACCAACAAAGAAAAACCTAGTCACAGTTTAGGTTTGTCAAGCTTCTTAAGCTGCGTTTCAAATACCCTGGGTTTGGTGAAATGCAAAGCACATCTTTTGCCAGGCCCTCTTTCTGCTAATTTTTAAATCCTCTTGCCTAATTTTAGGGATCTTTGGGGGAAATTTGATCCTTATGTTTCTGAATCATTTACACTTAGCTCATAAACATTTTGTTTTGTAAGACATATCTGAGGTCCAAGAAGTGTTACAAGTCCTTATTATGACCCTCTCTGATCCTATTCTCTTTAAACAATACATTTTCTTTTGCCAAAAATAAATTAACTTAAACCTCAAAGGTCAAGTATGATTTGAAACCCAGAACTCAAGAGGTATACATGAGTTCTGTGCTTGGCAAAAAACATTCCTGAGGTTGTAGCAGAAACACCATGTAGGACATCTTTTGTAGTAACGTGTGCCAATCACAAGACTGTTGGCTTTGGGGAGGAGTTGTAATGGTGTTTAAATGAGGTGAAATCTCCACATAACCAGGGATTTAAAAAAATGGATGAGTACAGATTGATCTTCCAATTTTAAGGGACAACTGATAAGATCTGACTCACTAGGTTTAAAATGACAGTGTATTTTTTCCTAACACTGAAGGAAGGTACACTTGTGAAAATAATGTTAAAGTTGGGCAATGTCCATAGAAAACTGAAATGATCAACTTGCCAGTTTGGTAGGGGACTGGCACAAGCATGGGGAAGAAAGGAGAGAGTCTGTTAATGCAGTGAAATACAGCCGCAAAATTATTTTGGGAAAAACTATACTAGCAATGAGTTGTTTAGTCTCCATCTCCAAAAAATAAAATAAAAAAAGTCCATTAAGCTGAAAACTTTAAATCATCTCTTTTTTGTACAGGCTTTGTTTTTTCACTAACACATATAAGTCACCATCTGTTTATATCACTTATTTCACAGGAACAAATAAATCCACTTGGTTGGGCTTTTGTGTAGTGCCATAGATGATAAAAAAGGGAGATGAACAAGTATATAAAGTAACTTGAACCTTCTGAACCTGAATATCTAATAAGACATTTGTATTGCAGCAGTAAGAAAGCATGGGACAAAATGCTAGGTTCTTTTTGCCTTTCCCCCGAGAGACGTGATGAGTCTATGTTAAAAAGAGCGATGTAGAAACCAAAAGCAGAGATGTGGACTCATTAACCTCGGGAACAAAGGAGTCAGGGGAGGCTCAAGTAAACCAGCTGAGGTAGGAAGCCTGCTAATCCATCATTTAGGTTTTCACTCTACCAAAAGAGAATAGTCACCGAGTATCCTGTGCTGTGTAAATATCAATTTTTCTAGGCATATCATCTTAATTGGAATTACCCTGAAAAGATGTGTGGAATGGTCCTGAGAGAAAAAAGACAGCAAACCAATTCTGACACTGCCTGAGAACATCCAGCAAACCGCACAGGCCTGGATTTCTTATATGGAGGCTATTTTCGGGGGTCCTGAGTGTGTTCACACGTCGATCTACAGTTGTGGGAGAGGAAGGATAGACTGTGGAATCAAGACTTTAGGGGCAGAGGGAGTCTACATTACTACTCAATCCTGGAATCTCCTGGTCCTTCAAGATCCCCAGGGATGGAGAGGGGGATGATTTGAATTGCAAGACAACCTATGTCACTATCAAATTGTCATCTTTGATGTCTCAATTTTGGTTTTTTTTGGGAAAGGGAGAAAGAGCTTCTGATTGGCTTTCTAGTCCTATTTCCTCATTTTAGAATAAAAGCAGCAAGGCACAGAGGGTTTTTTTTTTTTTTTTGCCTTTTCTTCTGCTACTCTCTTCATGTTGAGGACCGATGGAGCAGACAGATGTGTGGACAGGCACGTCAGCAGGCTTTGGGAAACACGACCTGCCATCATCTGTCTGATGCAGGAGAACAGTTTTGTTTCACAACCCCCCATACCCATAGCACAATAAGACTGACTCACAAACATGGGTTTGTTTAACAGAGTAGAAAATATGGACAAAGAAGAGAAAGGAGGCAAAGATTCTCACAATATAAAAATCTATAAAATATTATACTTTCAGGATTTGGGGAATTTTATGGACAAAGGGTAAATTAGGATTAGTAGCTATAAAAAGCAGAAATACTTAGCCAACCAAAAGAATAGAATCCATCTCAACATTTTAGGAATCATTTACAATGTATGTTCCATATTTACATGTAGATCATATATGTGTGTGTGTTTATGATTTTATATAATTACATACTTATTACAAATTATTCTTACCTATTCATTCATATAGGTTCCAAAAACTGGCCATTATGTCTTATTGACCAAATGTTACTCAACCAAATGACAACACTGAGTACAGGGGAAAATGTGGTTAGGTACACAATAAGGTTTTAACACTGCTATTGCAGAGAACTGGGAAATAAAATATTATGTCTTCCACTGATTCTACACGTTGCCTTTTGCAATTCAGACTGGATTTTCCTGTTTTTCAAACAAATGAGATTATATGATACAAAGTTAACATAATTTCAAGATATAGTGTAGCCCCGCATAACGTATTAATGAAATTTCAACATAAGGTATTCTCAGTGAAATAAATGTACACATAAAGGAGGCTTTGGTTTGGAAAAAAATTAAGTACACAAATTTTAACTTCTACATCTACAGAGAAATGAAGTGTGACAAGAAGTGATCACTGTTTTTCAGAGAATTTTGTTAGGAACCAGGAAGTATGAATGTGACTTCTTCACTAATAAGTCCAGCATCAAAAGAGAGTGCATATAAATAGGACAGATTTGAAGCACAGCAGATAAAATCAATTTTGTTAATGCCTAAAACGCTATGTGGTATTTTACTGAAAAACTCTCATGACCTATTAATTTAATTTTCATAAACTTGGTTACTTGTTTACTTGCTCATGTTAAAGCAGAAACAGTAAATTAAAATGTGAGGTAGGAGATACAATAAGAAAGCAGGTGAAACCCAGTCCTATTGCTAGAGGCGAGGCCCCTGGGAGCATCTAAAAAGAATCACAGACCACTCTTAGCAAGAGAGCTGTCAGAAAAGTGACTTCAAAAGCCAAAAGAACTTAAGACACTGGGTAGTTTTAGGCCATTTAATGCAAAAGCAAAAAACAAACATGCAGAAGCTCACTAAATGCTAACTTTTGTCACTGTGGTTCAAGGCGGCGGGGCCTCAGAACCCCACTTTCTAAGTGTCTGTACCGACTTTCCAACCTTGTATCTTCAACACATACCCAAATTCTTATGCTCTGAATATTCTCCTTCAAAATAGCTAAGGGAGGGCTTGTTTTTTAATGAAAAGAAGGTTGAATTAATTTTTGATGCCAAAATAAATTTAAAAATTTAATACAAGGATCGACTAAATTATTTCCAGTTTTTCCTCTATGGAATATCTCCTTCCCCAATGACATCAGGCCAAGGTGACATCACTCTAATTCATTCTTAGAGACAGAGTGTCCAAGAGCAGGAGAAAGGCCTTCTGAAATAATTTCTAGGTCCAGCCCTGTCTACCAGCTGTGGATCTGCAGTGGACATTTCAAAGATTTCCTTCCACAGAGTTTATTATTCTCTTCTTGAGCCTTTTACAGGTCCCTAAAATACATGATTGCTGTGTACAGAGGCACAACAGACTAGAGGAAAACATCACTGCTTACCAGAAACAGATCACACAAAAGCAAACCAGAGAACTGACTCAACCATTTCCACTCACTTGGTGGGGGAGTTTATAACCTTAGCATGAGCAATGGTTTGCCAAGAAGAAAGGCGGGTGGCGGTGGTGGGGCAGGGAATGGGGGGGTTGGTGATGGTAGGGAAGCAGGTTTGAAATGCTCATTTAAAAAAAAACAACTCTTGGGTAGAAGTATTTGAAAGGTTTCTACAAATATTTTTATCTGTGCGTCTCAAAAAATGGCTCAATGCTTTGGAGATTTACTTGGCTATGCTCCCTACTATGCCTTGCTCCCCTGCTTTCCCTGTGCCCCCCCTCTGCTATCCAGCTCCCCAATTTTGCAGTGGGGTGGGGTCACAATCAAAGTGGTTATCCTTCCTTGAAATGCAGAGCTTAATTCCAGACTATTTCACAGAACAGTAAGTTCCAGCTGAGATGAATATACCACTAAGGTTCACATGCAGAAGAAGTGCCAATGACAGAAGGGCCAGAAGTCAGGCCCACCTGGCTTGGATCGTGGCTCTGTCATTTACTAGCTAGGCAATCTTGAGTAAATCCCTTTACTCCTTCTAGCCTCGATTTCAAGTGTAAATATAAAGATATCCTAACTCTCACTGGGGATCGTAAAGTGTGAGATAATATTTATTAATTCATTTAAGAGATATGTACTGAGCATGGCTCTTGGCACTAAGGATCTAGCAACCAAGAACACATATGCCCACCATTGTGGCACTTATATTTTAGTGACAGAGCAATGAACACATTTAAGTAAGTTAACTATGTATTGGACTTGAGGAAATGAGTAATGTGAAAAAAAGTAAAGAAAATAAGTAATGTGAGTTAAGGGGTAGGGTGGATTATGAAGACTTGGAATTGGGAAGTCAGGGATATCAAAGTACATAAGACAATGAATGTCTGATAACTTTTGGGTGATCAAATACAAATTTATGGAATAATTGATCTAAATAGAGTGCACATTTAGGGGATCCCTGATATTAACCTGTGCAGTGCTTGACGGTGGTTCAGCACTGTATTAGAACATCTACAGAGTTCTTAAAATAAAAAAATTCTTAGGATTCTTTTTCTCCCAGGACTATTCAGACACAGGAA